ACTCTCTACTGAGAAGAAATCAAACCATTCCCCACAACTCCCTCAAAAAAGAAGGAAAGAAAGGAAGGAAAAACCCTACATAAAACAAAGCAAAAACAAAAACAAAATCTTATCATCATTATCAAAAACAACAACAAAACCAAAAGAACAAAAACTGAGTTAAGGATTGACACTGCTCAAATCCAAATGAAGGAGAGTTAAAAATTTGGATCTTTCTTTCCTGTCTTCTGCTCTAGTCCTTTTCTTTTTCTCTCACTTTTCTACTCCTTTCTCCTCCTTCCTTCCTTTATTCTTTTATCAAGTTCAAGCCAAATCATATTTTGAGTTCCTTGACTATTTCAACTCTTAAATATTTAGCATGTAACCAGTTTTTCCTTTTCTATAAATGCAAGTTCAAAGAAAGAAACTAATTAATTTTTCACCTGACATCAAATTTTCTATAAATACCAAATATTTTATGACCACCTTCTAGAAATGACATTTAAAAAATTAATCCCCAATAAAATTGCTAAATTTTTTCAAGGATAAAATTTGTTTCTTAATTTCTTTTTTTGAGAATTATTTACTGGTAAATACAACTAATATTTAAAATATATCTACTCACTTCCTGAATTTCTCACTTGTCAGTTAAATGCAAGGTAAATTCTTCTATTAGTTCTATTTTGTAGCTGACCATTCAGCTGATAATTTTTTTTTTTTTTTGGGTCCAGTCATGGGGCCTGAACTCTGGGCCTGGGCGCTGTCCCTCGGCTCTTCAGCTCAAGGCTAGCGCTCTGCCACTTGAGCCATAGTGCCACTTCCGGCTTTTTTCTTTTTGCTTATGTGGTGCTGAGGAATCGAACCCAGGGCCTCATGCATGAAAGGCAAGCGCTCTACCACTGAGCCACCTTCCCACCCCTCAGCTGATAACTTTTAAGCTGTAGATCTATGTATCACAAATATTTCAACATAGCTCTTAGATATTTAAAAGGATCTCTTATTCAAACAAGTTACAAGTTCATTCTTGAATTGAAATGTATTTTGTTAAACCATGACACTTAAGGTTCCTATTTCCAAGTATCAATTATTTGCATTTTTATCTCCTTCATTCAGCTGCCTTTGAGAAAAAGCAGATACTTTCTTGGTCTAAAATATCAAGTTAGAACACTTGAACTCCAGTCAAGAATAGAATTTCTTCTAGCTACATATTAGAACAACTCAGAAACAATGTGAGTATTAGCCTTAAACTATGCTGGACACAGGTGGCTCACACCTGTAGCTACTCAGGAGGCTGAGATCTGAGGATCAGAGTCTGTGACACTCTTATCTCCATTAACCACCAAAAAAGCAAGCAAGCAAGCAAGCAGGCAAGCAAGCAAGCAAGCAAGCAAGCAAGAAAGCAAGAAAGCAAGCAAGCAAGAAAGAAGCTGGAAGTGGAAGTGGAGCTGTGGCTCAAGTGGTAGAGCTCCAGCCTTAAGCAGAAAAGCTCAGTGACAATGACCAGGCCCCTAGTTCAAGCCCTAAGACTCTCTCTCTCTCTCTCTCTCTCTCTCACACACACACACACACACAAACACACACACACACACACAAACACTAACCAGCCAGAGTATTTACAGTCCACAGAGAGTCCACATTTGAGGCATCATCATGTTTTAATTGAGTATAAAATTGAAGGTCTGTTTACTCTTGGCAAAATTCCTTTCTAATTTGCAAAGATTGAAAAGAGCAATTTTGGTTTTTATTTGCTTCTCGATTTAGCAGAGTCACAATGGTTTCCCTCAGCTTTGCAATGTACATGTTAGCTAATTCTAATGAAGACAAATTCTGCTCAATCAGGACTGTCCCGTTCATTAAGTGAGACAGATGGCAGTCTTCCCATATTTTGTTGGATTCAGCTTCTTGAAGCTGAGTGGCTCATTTAGTGATGTCTATAGGAATAACAGGGATGTTTTTTTTTTTTTTCTGCAGGAGAAAGCAAATGAGTCAATATTTTGGTATAACAAGTTCTCAAGTTATTGAAACAAATGAGCCAACGACATCCCGAATTTTGGGAGGTATGGATATATGTTTTGTTTTAGGGATACCTCTAAAACAAGATGTATGTCCATACCTCACATTAAATGATCAAAGGGAGGTGATGATTCTTGAGGATATATTCACATGGATACTTTTCTAAAAGATCTTGAGATTTATTGGCTATGGCAAAAGCAAGGACTGGAACAACTCATCCCTGGGTAGCAGCTGCCATGTTGAAATTAGCCAGATTAACTAGTAATTGCCAAGTGTTAGCCCTCAACCTTGCCCTAATCTTTACTCCTTTGTTACAAGTAAGCAGAAACTCTACGTAGTGGCCAGAAACATGAGAGTTGAAGAGGAAGATTATATGGGAAGTCATTCTAACTTACTTTTGGTGAGTGGCAACGTTTTGCTATTCATTAGGAATTGCTGAATTGTACATTAGGAACTGCTGAAAGTTATAACTTCATTATTGAAGTGGAGGAAGATTACCACATGTGCTACAGTAATCACTAAGGTAAAGACATTCTCCAATCAGTTATCTGCAGCTAGATAGTATCTAAGGCTGAGATGTATCTTAGAAACCTGAAGAAATTCATAGGAAAATAAAAGAGAAACAAAACTTGGTATGGTACTGTTTTTATAAAATGTTAGCCATGTTTTTACTTGAGTTTTCTCATTTCATCACAAACAATGAAATAGCAATATAAAGTCTTTAAGTAGTACTATTATCCATCTTTTTTGTTGACTTTTGATACTTTTTGAATTTCCTAAGCTTTTGCAATAATAACATGATGTATAAATTTTGGAATATTATTACACTTATCTTTTAATTAAAATGAGATTTTTAATCTGCATTAATTTAAATTGCTTAAACATGGACAACTTTTTTTCCTACTACTTTTTAGGCAGTAGAAGACTTTGCTATTACTGAGGGTTTTTTGAGTGGATCACAAGAAATCTAGCCCAGGATTAACTCATTGCTCTGAAGGCTTCACAGTACTTATATTTTAAAATCAAATCTTCACCTTGCCTTTGGAAGGTAGGATTCCTACTTAGAAGATGACTTTCCTTCATAGAGGGGGGAGACTCTAGTCCAGAGATATCAAGTCCCAAGGTCCTAGTGGTAGGCTGGGACCCAAACCTCAACTATGTCCTCCATGTTCTTTTCCTTTAGCCACAGTTCTTGTCCTTCTACACAAATACAGGACTCTGGAGAAGTTCATCAAAGCCTTAGGTTTCACTTTCTCAATTGCAGAATGGTGGTTTGGATTTTTCTACCTTAAGGCTTAGCTATCTCTTCATTGTGAAACTGGGTTTATTCAGTAGGATGAAATATGATTAATGAAAGTTAGTTAATGAGGGTCAGTGGACCCAATGGACACAATGCAGAGGTCTGTGAGTATAGAATATACTTCCAGGAAGCCACTGTGGTTGTTAGGAATTTGAGCAACCAGGGCAATGGTTTTACATTAACAGTCTCTTAACAGTCTTAAGAAATCTATAGAAAGATGAAAGGAAGAAGAGAAGGAAAAAAGAGAATCAGGAGGAGGAGGAAGAGCTTCTATACATGTAAAAAATTAGTAACAATTTTTCAGTGGTTTACAGACTTCTTAGAGAAGAGTGACACATCAAGAATCTCTACTACACAGTGCACTAATGTTCAACTTTGTTAACATGGGGGAAGCTTATATAGAGTGAGTAATAATGAAAAGGTGAAAACAAGTGATATGACAGATATTGAGAAGAGTTTACCCTATCTCTATTAATCAATGATGAAGATCAGCACAATGGTTGACTATGGGAACATGGCAATTGATTGACAAGTGGGAAAGAGGAAACTTTCTAAAGTGATAGGAATGTCCTATAATTTGACTGAAGCATTGGTTACGTGAGTGTATACTTTTTTCAGACTATTCATGTAGCATTCTTAATATCTGTACATTTCACCATATGTAAATATTATTCCAATTAAAAAATACAATATGGAAAACTGGATGCTGGTGGCTCACACCTGTCATCCTAGCTACTAAGAAGACTGAGATCTGAGGATCACAATTCGAAGCCAGCCTAGGCAGAAATGCCTGTGAGACAAGTGGAGCTGTGGCTCAAGTGTTGGAGTGCCAGTGAAAAACCCATCTGAGTGAGAACACTGTGAAGCCCTAAGTTCAAGCCCCGGAACCAGCACCAACATAGTAACAACAACAACAATAATAATAATAATAATAATAACGACAATAATTCAAACAATTGTGATGTGGATTTAAAATAGTCATCTGTTTTTTTTTCTCCAGACAACTGTATGTCCTGGACTATTTGTTGGGATAGAGCAGGAGAAAAAAATGTAGGGCACACACAAATATTTTCTTTAGACACATTTATAGAGAATTCTGTGATTTTTAAAATGTTCCTTCCCTTCAAATATTTCCAGAGTGAAGTTTCTGATTTAGATTTGTGACTGTGATTTCTCCCCCAGCCTGGGTGCTGTATGTGTAGGTTTGACATCATTGTGCAGGAGGGAGACAGAGCAGAAATATGGAGTTGAGAGACATTCATGTTTTCTCCGAAAAGGAAAAGGGGGGGATCCATTAATCATTTCACTCTTTCCAGTATCTAAGATCTCTATATATTTCAAAACACTGGAAGAACAAGATGCCAGGCCTGAATGTGAAATTTAAATTGCCCTAATCCTGTGTAGTAGTGTGGGAAGGTGAGAACACATGTTTTGTCTTGTGGTGTTAAAACGATGGTCCATCTTTTCTACCCATGAATGAGCTGCCCCAAGGCAACTGCCACTGCCAGTCCATGTGGTCTAGAAGAACCTCAGCAGCTGGCATCACTGACTCCACACCTGGCAACACACGCGGATGTTTCTCTTCAAGATGATTGGTAGAAGGTTTTTTTTTTTTTTTCAGAGATTTTTTTTTTTATCATATTGCATGCCTCACATTAGATATTGTTAAAAAAATTAAAAACCATTTTTTTTTACAATTTACAAGTGCTTATATAAGAAGAAAATGACTAAAAAAATACCCACCCAAGCACCCAGAACTCATCTAACTGAACACTGCTAATATTACACAGAATGTGAGTGAAGAACTCGGTGACTTGTGGGGAAGCAGGAGGCACAGTTATTGTCTGGGAGGGAGGTGGAACGAGACGGATCCACAGTGCTGGCCCTCAGTGGTGCTTTTGCTCCCTAAGTCAAATCCAGCAGCCGCATTTCAAAATCAATGGCATTACTTATTTCGACCTAGAAAATAAAACATAAATTGCTGTAAATAACTTCAACATTAAACAATGACAATCCCTTCTCTTCATCCAGACCTTTTGAAATGCAAATCAACTTCTGCTTATCTCTGCTCCTGTCGAACCAATAGCAAGAAGAAAGCTGGAATACTAGGTTTTCTTACTTTTCAGATTAGGGTGGCAGTTGGGCTTTAAGGTATGGGGCCACTTTCTGGGAGAAAGTGCCACTTTGACAGCAGTTGTGAGGTGATAGGATCATTACTATTGGGTGTATCAGAAGTAAAGATGACAGAGGTGTGTTGTGCCTACCAGCCACAACTCTGGCCTAATATTCTTCCAGAATCTACATAAGCATTGTCCTGTCTGGCTTTCATATCACCTAACACTGGACCCATTTCTCTTACATACACCCTTCCCTGTGATGCTTACTTTTGTGTGTCAAATTGGCTAGGCCACAGTGTCCTGATATTTGTTCAAATACCAGTTTAATGTCACTGGATGGTATCTTTTAGATGAGATTGGAATTTAAGTCAGTAGATGTTGTGTAAAGAACATATGTGGATCTCATCTGATCAGTGAAAGGCCTGAAGAAAAAAGACTATAATGTTCCTGAAGGAGAAGAAATTTGGCCTACAAATTGCCTTTGGATTTCAGCTACAATATTTTATCTTTTTTGATCTCCAGTTGGCCAACCTAACCTGCAGATTTTGGACATGCCAGTCTCTATTGTGTGAGGTAATTTCTTAAAAATCGGCCTCCTGCCCCTGTCTGTCAGTCTGTTCTCCTCTGCATACACCCATTCCCTGATATGCATGCTACTCATTCTATTTATTTGGGGAACATCACCTAATACATACTAACACGTTCAGTCCACGATTTGGGCACAGACTCTGGATTTCATATTCCTGATTTTGTCCTAAATGAGAAGCCTTGGGAATGGGAGATTCTGAATTATGACCCTTGCACAAAACCAACACTCACACTATACATGCTGCACAGTTAATATTTGTTGTATTTATCACCTCTCACAGCTCCTCTGTTGTGAGGTCTTAGCTGATCCAAATCTTACTTACCTTTGAAGATCCAGTTGGAATTTGTCTCTGTGAAGATTTTCACTTCTCCTCAGGCATGTGGCTTTCTCATCTGGTTACCAATACCTCTTACGTAACCAGCTGTGACTTGTACACATCTGTGCCGTGTACACAGATGCTGGCCTCCAGTGTCACAACTCGCCATCCTCTGTTATTCCACCCAGTCATGGCAGTTTTATCCCTCCAACTCCCAAATTATGAACGTTACAACAAAAAGACTGTGTCCACACTTACTTTATATCTCCATCTAGAAACTTCTACTCAGTTCAGTAACTATTCTATGGCCTGAAATGTATTATTTAGTTATAATTTGACAAGAAATGTACTCACCACCTTATGTATGTAACTGTAACCCCTGTGTACATCATACTGACAATTAAATTAAGTTAAAAAAGAATTTCTCAACTTCCCAGTTTCACCTTACTTTGGTAGCCACTCTTGTGAAAGTAGAGGGTTCAATCTTTGACACCTTGGCTCTGTCCTATCTTTCCATGACATTTCCCTTGCTCTCTGGCTTCTTTGTGTGTGAATTACAAGTCCATCTATCTGTTCCTATTACCACTTTGAATTTTAGCAGGGATTTAAACGGAAAGATAAAGAGTTGGTTTATTATGATGGGATTTTATAGTTTTAGGAAATCTCTAAGTCAGAAAGGGCAGTGAAGCTCATTTATCCACTCAGTTCATAAGGTCCTTTTAAGTTGAAGATAAAACAATAGGTAAAGGCATGCTTCTTTGTTAATGGGAGTATTCATGTAAGCTGAAGGCATCTCAGAGTATTTACTCCATTCATCTTTAATGTGAGATCTGCTTCTGAGGTAAGGTCTACAAGGTGCCATTCAGATATGGGTTTTCTCATTTTGGAAAATAATTTTTATTTATTTATTTATTTTTGTCGGGGCTTGAACTCTGGGCCTGGGCGCCATCTCTCAACTCTTCAGTTCAAGATTAACACCCTACCACTTGAGCCACAGTGCCACTTCCAGCCTTTTTTTTTTTTTTTTCTTTTTCTGCTTATGTGATGCTGAGGAATCGACCCCAGGGGCTCATGGATGCAAGGCAAGCATTCTATCACTGAGCCACCTTCCCAGCCCAGAAAATAATTCTTATGTTCATGAGGCAGCATAAGAAGGCTTTCTAATATTCTGGGAGCAGAGAGTGAGGTCACATGGCAGGAGAAATGTCTGTGTCCTCAGCGAGATAGGACAATGATAGTCCTGGAGGTCGCCCTAGACCCTCTTGTGTCTGCACTGTTGGTGATATCATGGCTTCCTAGAAATGAGAGTGGTCCAAGGACTAACAACTAACAACTATGATCAAGAGATCGAGCCACCTCAGCCACACAAATCCATACATTTCATTGCTACATGGTCACCATCAAATTACTACACATTAGCATAAGCTCTTGCAGTAGTCCCTGAAATGGTGAAATCATTTTTTATGATGGATGGGAAAGTTACTAATGATTGTGACAGGGAAAGCACTCTAAAGCCAGGGAGGGGAATGAGTCCTAATGCAATTGCTGCTTTGCTAAGTAAGGCAGGCAGGGAAGCCTATCACTCGCGGGGGACAACTAACATGCTCGCAGTGTTTGCAAGTGCGATGACTTTGACGGGTAATGCCTCCATAAGTGCCTTCCATTTCCAGGGCCTGATGATGACACTTGGGAAATGGGACTCTATGCTCAGTAATGGGAACACTGCATCCTTCTCTGTGAGAACAGCTCAATCACCTTACTGTGTGTGTGTTGTAGAGGGCAGACAGCAAAGAGGATTTTACATAGCTTGTTGCTTTGTCTGTGTAGATAACTATTAAGCCCTAGCTGATCAAGAATTAATGAGAATAGAACAAAGAAAGAGTTTCCATTTTATTCATTTTTATATTTCTACAGCCATAGTTTGTTAGCACATGGCTGGTAATTTGTGTGTGTGTGTGTGTGTGTGTGTGTGTGTGTGTGTGTGTGTGTGTGTTGGTTAATTGGATATAATTCATGCAAGTTTTTCTGTCCAGGCTGGCTTTGAACCATGATCCTTACATCTCAGCCTATTGAATAGCAAGAATTACAGGCATGAGCCACCAGTCTAGTGATTGTTGGTCTTTAAAAAAGCATATTTTTTCACCTTCCCAACTTTCTCTCTTTCTCACACACACATGAGTTCACACATAGACACACATACACATCTTATATTTTTAATAGTGTCTGATCTAGATACTGTAAATGCAATATGGTCTGATATGAAACTAATTTACAAACAGGACTACTGGCACAAAAGAGAAACAGACCTTCCCACCTCTGCATCTGTCCCACTGCCCAATGTCAGGAGTGGATTTCCTGCAGGCCTGGACTTTTAGACACAGAGGCCCAGCAGTAAGGGCACCTTGAGGAGCAGCAGTGCTAGCTTGAAGTGGGGATTAGTCTCTTCTGTCTATTAGCATTTAGTGGTGGGAACAGCCACTCAATCAGCAGTGGCCACATAGCATGTAGCAATTTTTTTGTGAAGAAAAATTAGCTTCCAGCAAAGGCAATCAGGTAAGTCAGGAAAGAAAAGAATAGTCAAGTTCTCATTGGGAAATCTTAGAAAAGATTACTTAAAAGTGATGGGCAGAGTTCAGGGTTGATTTTCTTTATCAAGTCTGCCTTCATTGCATCATGGGGCATCTTCATGGAAATTTCTAGAATGATCAGATTTGGCTCTACTTCTGTACAGCTCAGTCCTAGAATTCAGCTGTTATCTCTTTTTTTTAATAAAGTGCCTTAGTCTAATTATTTCTAAGGGAAGAATTACTGCTACATGGAGCTTAATTTTCTTATTATCCAGTGGCTAACCATTTTGATGGGAACACACCAGTCATGATTTTGACAAAAGTTTAATTTAGTCGCTCCCTGTGTTCTCTTAGTCCGTCTCACTTTCGTAGCTGTGTGGGTTTTTGCTATGCTGTTTTTCTTCCCGTGGGTAAATCTGTTTTTGCCAGCCCTTTCCCCTTGGGTCACCACTATGTCCTTGCCAGGCCAGGCTGAGTGCCCCCACGAAGCCTCGCTGAGTACTTGACTCTTGCTCTAAGCCTTCGCAGTTTGTCCTGGTGAAATGTGGAGTCAGCATGTGGGGGAAAGTAATGGGCTGACTCGGGTGAGCACTAGATTGGAGTCATGATGGGAGTTCTACTTCCTCACTGGCAGTGTGGCAAGATGATGGAGTCCTGACCTGTGTGTCACCTATCTCCAAGTCAAACCCAGATGGCAAGCGCTGACTGCATTTCTATAGCTTCAGGCACAAAGAGCAATATTAGTTAGTTGGCAAAGCTCTGGCTGCTAAATAGCTCTTAGTGTCCTCCCTAGGAGCTGTCATGGTCCCTGCTTTGCTTCAGCAGCTGCTTCCTCATAGGTTAAGCTGAGTTTATGGGAGAAGTCCGGCAAACACTATGTAGGTTAGCCATTTTAACTTTGTCCTCTGTACCATAGCAATGCAAGTTAGCCCCCATACTGGGGGTGGGGTGGGCACCGATTTTCTTCTTCAATCTTTGTGTGTGTGTGTGTGTGTGTGTGAGCACATGTGTGTGGGTATTAGGGTTTGCACTTCACAAACAACTGCAGTACACTTCAGCCATGATTCAACCCTTTATATTTTAGTTTATTTTTGCTTGGGATGGGCTCAAGCTACAATCCTCCCATCTCTTCGTCCTGTGTAGCTGGGTTTATAGGTGTGTACCAAAATGCCCTGTCCCTTGGCTTCTTTTTATAAAATATGACTTTTTTGAGCAGTTTTTGAAAGGAAACACAGAGATTTCTCATAATCTTCCCCACTATCCCCCACCAAAACGGTACCTTTGTTTACAATTGATGAATGTATATTAGTGCTCTATTGTTACCCAAAGTCAGATTCGTGTCAAATATTCTGTTTGGACAATGGCGTAAAGACAAATACCCACCACTACTGCATTGTCCTGAATAGCTGCACTGCCTTCAATGTCCTCTGTACTTACTCATGTATGTCTTCCTCTCCCAGACCCTGATCTGGATAATTGTCTCCACAGTTTTGCCTTTTTCAAAGTATTAGATAACTGTAATCATACAATATGCAGCCATTTTAGTATGGCTTATTTGTTTCATTACATGCATTCACTTTTCATAAATTGACAACTCACTATTTTCGACACAAAATAATAATGCAATTATCTGGATTACTAGTTTATTATCCATTTGCCTACCACGGGACATCTCATTTTGTTTTGTCTTTTCCAAGTTTTAGAAATTATGAGTAAAGCTCCTGTAAACTTCTGTGTGCAGGTTTTTGTGTGGATGTTATTTCTCACCTCCTTTGATAAATATGAAGGAGCTTCATTACTCAATTGTGTGGTAAGAGAAAGCTTAGTTTTGTAAGAAAGTACCAAACTGTCTTGCAAAGTGGTTGCTTATTTTCTTTTAATGGACTGTGCACATCTTTTCAATGTTGGCTCAGCATCTTCTTCTGGGACCTCTTCACTGAAAGCACCCATCTCTACTTAACATCATTTTGTATTTACCATTTCTATGCCTGTCTCCTTTCCTAGATCATTTGCTGCTGGAGGTCAAATCTCAAGTGCTAATTTATCTTTATTTAACCAGCGCCTAGGACAGTGCCTGGTACACACATTCCAGATAATCAATGAATGGCTAGAACATGAACTAAACTGACTTATTTAATCAGTGGGGGCAAGATGGCTTTGGTATCAGTAGTATAAAAAGAAAGACAAAGTGTGGAAAGCTAGACTTTAATGTGAAACACCTCAGCTCTACCACAACTACTGTCCCAGCATACATAGTCATGTGCAATTTGTTTTTTTTTTTTTGGGTCCGGTCGTGGGGCCTGAACTCTGGGCCTGGGCGCTGTCCCTCAGCTCTTCAGCTCAAGGCTAGCGCTCTACCACTTGAGACACAGCGTCACTTCCGGTTTTTTTCTTTTTGCTTATGTGGTGCTGAGGAATTGAACCCAGGGCCTCAGGCATGCAAGGCAAGCATTGAGCCACCTTCCCAGCCCCCGTCATGTGCAATTTGACTGTGGGCATACTACACTGAAACATGGGAACAGAAGTTTCCTTCTGAACAATTCTTCAGTGTCACTGATGAATAGTCTGTCAGCTTGCATCTATTCATCTCACATTGAAAGGTATCTGTTCATATACACATGCCTGGGATATCCCAAGGGTTCTTTTAGTCACCTTAATTAAGTGACTTCCTTATAAAATCTGGCTTTGCACTCCATGGAGATTAAACAGCAGTAAAGAAAGCTGAAAAGCAGTATTCACTCCCCTCTCTACCAATTTAATGCAGAAGGCTGACTTTTTCTCTAAACTACTGGGTAGAACAGCAGGGGCTGATGTGGTATTGTTGTCCTGGGAACAATGAAATCCAATATGTAATCATCATTAAAAGAGAAGTCAGCTCATGCCTGTCATCCTAGTTACTCAGGAAGCGGAGATCTGAAGATCATTATTTGAAGCCATCCTGTCCAGAAAAGCCCATGAGATTCTTATCACCAATTAACCATTTAACAGCTGGAAGTGGAGTGATGGCTAAAGTGGTAAAGTGGCAGCCTTTAGTAAAAAGTTAAGGGACAGCACCCAAGCCCTGAATTCAAGTTCCTGCATGGGCATAAAAAAAATAAAAGGGAAAAGAAAGAAATCAAGCAGATAGAAGCCAACAAGATTTGTGCTACAATATTTGCATACAGAGGAAGATCACAGACATTGCCCTCTTAAATTGTTTCATGTAAAAGATTTCAGTTCAGGCTCAGTTTGATCATGGTTGAAAGATGTTCCATATCCATCTGACAGGATAATATGCATATGCTTTCAAAGCAGAAACCTGTTTGACTGCTTTTTACAGCCTGTGGCTTATGCTACATTCAACTGCAATGCTGTGAGTTCAGCAGTGCACAGAGGCTGAGAGAAAACCCTTTGAGGAGGTGGAGGAGTTGATCAAAGCCTTTTAGGTGATCTGAAGAGGGTGTTTTTTATGTATTCCGCATTCACAGAGATGGAAGGTTCTTCAGAGCACATAAAAGGAAGTCACTTGCCTCTGGGCCATTCCACAGAACACTGTGGAGGTGAGTAGGTATGTGTGAATTCATTTTTTAGTGTCATGAAACCCATTATCAACATTCATCAATTTCAGTTCTTAATCACCTTCCTTAATAGAAAGATCTCTCTTATATTGCACTATTCTTCATATTGTAATATCTCCACAGAGTTTCCTTTTTGTTCTCCACAGCAAGATGAAAGAACCCGTTCATCTTCTTCTTATCTCAAAGCAAATACATGAAGGCTTCCAGAGTTACCAGTAGGCATGCTTTCAGTATTTTTTTCTAATTTCCAATGCACTCAACATCTTTATTATTGCCATAATCCCTGTCAAGCTTCTCAGAGACACAGATATAAACGTTTGGAGCACATTATTTACTTGCACTCAGAAACAAAAATAATGAGATGAAGAAACTTGGTCCTGGGTGTTTTATAGGGCAAATGTGTTTCCAAATTGTATTTACTTTTAAGAAACTAAAATTTATTTAAACATTTATCACCGACTTAGTGTAGCCTATGAGATATGCTTCCTTTAGTTCATTCTTCCAGACTAAAATTAATCCTTTTCCCTCTCCTCCACCCCCCTGGAAAAAGCAAAAGAGACATTGAAGGCTGTGTAGAGCTTCAGTCCCTAAGATGCTGGGAAATTCATGTGGATGTGGGCAGGAATGCAATAGATAGAGCCTTTTCTCTGTGTTTGTTTTACATGATATTCTCCATTACGTGTTGAGCTAAATGGACAGGAAAGTACAGGGAGATCATCTGAGGAGGTGGACCCCAGTTTATGACCCAGGAAAGGATCCAGTTCCACAACTTGAGTGAATCTATTTCCTTATTCATAATCAGGAATACTAATCAGTATATTTTGTATTTTCAGGAGATTGGGGGTGAGATAGCTAGCATCGTTCTTCACATTCATCTATTTGCTCCTTAGAATTTGTTTTCAGAAATAAGCATGACTGCTTTTATTTTCTTGTTTTGTCAACTGGTTGACAAAGATTCCTTTCTTATTTTTAACTATAATTGGTGGCACTTTTTCCACTGCTGTTGCTGACTTTCTTTTCCTCCCTATCTTCTTCTTGGGACATAGCAAACATTCCTGAACATTTTAGGACATATTTTAGTATATAGAACAATACAAAGCTATACATGTGAGCTGTGTGCACTTTAATTCATCCTCCTTGTTAGTCCATCCATTTCTCCCCATGAACATATTGCAGATGACAGAAGAAGTCTCAGAGACATTGAAGAAAGTACCCAGAACCCCACATGTAGAACCTGGATCCTCACCTAGATCTTTCTCTCTTTTAAGACACCCATCCAGTCTTCCCTTCTGCAGAATAAATAATAAATGGTTTTCATTTGCAATCAAAGTGATGTGAAATTAACTACCGGTAAGGAAAATAAGACAAACCATTGTTTTAGAAATGTAAACCCCATCACCCACTTGAAATCTTTTCTGGAATGAAAAATAGTGAAGGTATTGGGTTACATATGAAAGGTATATTTTAGATATGAGTGAAAAGTTAAAGCAATGATTAGTACTAGCTCCAAATTGCTGATGGTTTGGTTAGTTTCAGCCAGGTTAGAAGGATTAATATTTTTCTATGCCTTTACTTACAGGTTTAACAGGCTTTAACTCAATATGATCCTGGTAGTAGGAATGTGTATCAAGTCCGCCTATGAAATCAACTGAAAATACAATAGCCCAAGTTGAATAAATGTGTAAATAAAAGCACATATAATACTAACTGCTTAAAGTAGAGTATATGCATAAGGTTAAGAACAGAATTTTTGTACTAATACTAGAAAATGTATACGTAGTGTAAAAGGCTACTAAAATATTGTCAATGATGCAAAAATGTGTGAACATTTTAAGAAGCACATAAATTATCTGGGCTCATAGATCTGAAAATTACAATTTTTTATCTGAAGGTTAAAATAATTGGTTTAGTGAAAATTAAAGTAATATTAAGAGTCTGAGATTTTAAATAATGTGTTTGTCCACACACATGAAGACACAGCCTCTTTCCGTATATATGGACATATATAATATATATATTCTTGTTGCCAGAATCCATTTCCATCTGAATGTTCATATCATCATTTAAAAGGCAGTAGAGAAGTCATATACTCTGTCCCTATGCTTTTTTTCCTCAAGACATCCCTGAGGAAATAGGAACTTGTCCTTTGCAAAAGTTTTACAAACTCCTGGGTGGCATGAATTTGTCTACTTCATGTGGTAATCATCCTAATTTAATTTTGTTTTGCTCAAAGCCCCAATCTTTCTCCTCAATTCTTTCTCTTTTCCTATGGACCATTAAAATATTATTTTTGGCCAAGCTTTGGTTATGTGATAACACTATAATATTAACAGGTATATTGGCACATGAGGTCACTAACCTTTCAAGTGTGTGTGTGTGTGTGTGTGTGTGCACATGCATGCATACATATGCTAAAACTTACAGTCTGAAAAACTTACAGTATGAAAATATTGTATTCTATCTTGGTTTAAGCAGGCATTGTAGGAACCTTGATTTAGAGATAAATGAATTAGCCTAGAAGTTCTATTGAATTCTTGACTATCTGTGGCCTCTCTTTAATTGACCTCTGGGTCAATTAAAGCATCACCAGCTCATTGAGTAGAAAGGAGCTTTAGGTGCCCAGAAAACAGTGGATGACCTTCCTCCAGGCAGAAGAGCTTAAGCTTTTTCTAGTAGGTCTCCTGTTATCTGGATATCACCTTAAGGAAAGTTGCAATGACAGGTTAGTGTACCTGAGACACAGAATGATTTTTCTGTAGAGATAGAGCAGGGAGAGATTGGGTCAGGGGTTGGGTCAGTTAAGAATAAACTTTTATTAGACTAGTATCCAATCAAATATCTGTTCTTCTAGACTTTTGATAATGTGTATTTTTTTTTCTTTGTTGGTCATGGGGCTTGAACTCTTGGGCTGAGCATTATCCCTCAGCTTTTCAGCTCAAGGCGAGCACTCTACCACTTGAGCCACACCTCAACTTCTGGTTTTCTGGTGGCTTATTGGAGATAACAATTCATAGCCTTTCCTGTCTGGGCTGGCTTTGAACTATGATCCTCAGATCTCAGCCTCCTGAGTAGCTAGGAAGAGGCATATTGATTCAAAATTGAACAATATATAACTGTACGCACATATGCATGTATGCATATGTGTGTATATCTATAAGTATAATAGTTCACTTAGAAAATTATATTCAAGAAAATAATATTTCTAAAAATAAAGACATCATATGCCCATATATATTAAAGCATAAGAAAAAAACAGAATACTGCTGGGCATTGGTAGCTCATGTCTGTAATCCTGGTGACTATGGAGGTTGAGATCTGTGGATTGGAGTTTGAAATCATTCTAAGCAGGAATGTCCATGAAACTCTCATCCCTAATTAACCACAAAAAACAGAAGTGGAACTGTTGCTCAAATAGTAGAGCACTAGACTTCAGCAAAAAAGCTCTACAAGCCCTCCTGAGCTCAAGCTCAGTATTGGCACCCTCTCCGAAAAACAAAAGAAGAAAAGAAAAGAAAAAAGAATATACCTCCCCAGTCATGCAGGAAGTGGAGACAGTAGGACCATAGTTTAAAGCCAATCCAAGAAGAGAAGTGATTGAGACTCCTGTCTCAAGAAATGAGCTGGGTACAATGGATGACACCTCTAATTCTCAACAGGTAGGAATTGGAGGTAGGAGGATAGTGTTCAAGGCTGGCCCAGACAAAATATTGAGAACCTATTTGAAAAATAAACTGAAATAGAAAGGGCTCAAGGCCTAGCTCAAGTGGTAGAGTGCCTGCCTGGAAATTATGAAGTCCTGAGTTTAAACCCCATTACTTCCAAACAAACAAAAACCACTCTACAATAATCATTTGAACATTAAAATGGAACATTAGCCATATCATTTATAGAATATTTAAATTCATGTAAGCCAATCTGTTCCTTAGTAATTTTAGTTTCTAACATATGTGTTTTTGGAAGAATATGTATGTATATATATATATATATGAATACATGTGTATATTATTCAATATTGTTATTTTTTAAAATTTATTTACAACTTCCTTCTTATGCCTCATAGAGCCTTATGGCTACTTAGTTTTAAAACTTGAGTCTGCCAGCCTATAATGCTTTAACTGATGAAAGAGCCTTCCAGTTGGTGCCACTAATGCCCATGCAAGTTCTTAACATGTGTGATATATGTGATATATTTTAGCTCAAATATTTCCCCAAGATGTGTCACTTTGAGTATCTTTCTTTGACAAAAATTTGCAAGGCCAAAACCATAAATTGTATCTAGTTATGATTTTTTTCATCAAACGTAGATGCTGAGAAATTCTCAGCCCTCTCAAATCAACTTCTTTTCATGCTGGTACAGAACACAAATTTCTTCCATTAAAATCAGAGCTCCCCTAAAAGAGTCTTTTCCCAAGGCACGATATTTCAAACAGGAAATTACAAAAATGAAGGATCAAATCCTGTCTGATACTTGAGTTCTAATGATTAAATTGGCCCTATTTTGCTTTTGTGAGGATAAATTCAAAAGTTTTCCTTTAATAGGATTTTAACTATAAGAATTTACTAAAATCTGTGAAAGCTGATCTTGGGGGGACATTTTACTAAATAACTGATTTTAAGTTTTCAATTGATCTTGAGTGCAGTCCAACTAAAATGTAGAAGAGGCATTTACAAAAATATTTCCAATTATTGTGAAACAAACAAATCACAAGGTGAGTCTTCAAAGTCTGATTGAAACAGGAAAGGAAAGAGAGAAATGTGCTTTTCATGCTAACAGTCTTTTCACTTGTTTCAAAACACCGGCTTTATCATAGAAGTATTTTCATTTATTTACTCCACCTATGTGTGTATATGTATATAAGTTTGAAAGCAAAAGTTTCTTTTTTATTTAGTATAAATTTATTTAATGTTTACCATAGGCAAGCAAAGTATATTGTCTGATTGTCTGATATTTCTTGTGGAGAATATAGTTAAGGCTAATTTCCACTGGTAAAAAATATTGCAGTGTATGGGATAAGTCACATTTGTATTTATACTCTTGTATTAAATACTAATTGATGTGAGTATTATAATAATCATAAAAATGCCTTTAAGCTCCCTCTTAATAAAGGCAGAAGCCATCAATTAAACACATAAAGCATTGCAGTGTTATTGCTGTGCAGTTATTAATTGCCTATGCAATTGAATTCTGTATATAACTCTCCTTCATAAGTTTCTTAGTATGAACACTGTGCCTTTGGCTTTTCTTACTGAAACTTACTCAAAGTTTACATTTCCATTATTTCCACAATACACTTTATCTTTGATACTTACTTGTTAATGGAGCCATAGAATTTTATTTAAATTCTACCATAGCATTAAAAATAACATTAGAGCTTTATCTTGGACAGAATGACATTATAGAGGTTTATTTTGATGTTATAAATTAAAAAATTAAGAACCTCAGATTTAGAGTTTTGCTTTAACTTCGATGCACCAAATGCTGAAACACCAATTCTGGAGAGCATTCCGGATATCTTTTATGTCCCATGTTTAACCACATTCATCAACTAACTAGAAGGTTTAAGTGTTTTGTTTTGAATCCAACTGAGTGTTGCCTTGTTACTGAACTGTGAAGCACAGAGCCCTCGCACTCTGAATTTGACTCAGAGAAAATATAAGACTAAGGATGATGAGCAACAATTATTATGGTGTTGGGAACTGAACTCAGAACTTCCTGCACACAAATCAAGGGCTCTGCTACTGAGCAATACCTTCTTTTCCACGAGTTTGTTCTGAATTTGCTCCTTGGCTTATCATTATTCATACTAGAATGTAATTAGGCTCTTCTAATAGGTACTTGTCACCTTCCTTCTTTCTTTCTTTCTTTCTTTCTTTCTTTCTTTTTTTCTTTCTTTCCTTCCTTCCTTCCTCCCTCCCTCCCTCCCTCCCTCCCTCCCTCCCTTCTTTCCTTCCTTCCTTCCTTCCTTCCTTCTTTTTGCTGGTAGTAGGGTTTGAACCTAGAGCCTTGCACTTATTTGGCTGGTACTCTACTACTTAAGTCACACCTCACACTTCCAAACAGGCTTTTTGCTGATTATATTGCAGATGGAATCTAGTAGATTCATCTGCTTTGGCTGGCTTCATATCGGGAACCTTCATATCTCAGCCTTTTGAGTAGCTAGAATTATAAGTGTGAGTTACTGTATAGCTGCCTGGCTAAAAGACAATTTATTTTGATTGTTTTAGGTACTAGGGCTTGTACTCAGGGCCTTGTGCTCTCATGTGACTTTTTTGCTCAAGTATGGCTCTACTACTTGACCTACAGCTCTACTTTTTATTTATTTACTTATTAATTAAAGATAAGAGTTTTATGGACTTTTGAACCTTGATTCTCAGACTTTAGCCTCCTAGGTAGCTAGGATTACAAGTGTGAGCTACTAGAGACCAGTGTCCTGACCTACAAATTCTTCAGGAAGCATTGCTCAGGCCTCAAAGAACTTAACTATTTTGACCATTACATTGGTATTTGCATGTTCTCTGACATAGATTCCTATGACAAAAGCTGATGGGGAGATTGATTGACATCAACTTAGTTCAGTTGACATCAACTTACTTCACTAGTAATGATGGCTTTGAGGACAGACCAGTTATTTCATAGGTAGCTTATAG